TATCAGCCAATGTACAACAGCAAGAACATGGCTTATGCTTTATGGACAAGTGGCACCAGTAGTTCTCCGAAATGGGTGGAAGTAAATCATAGTGGTAGTGTTAACGCTATTTTATGCTTACAAGATGAGAGTCCTTTGAAACCCAAAGACAAGATGCTACAGGTGGCATCGCTTAGCTTCGACCATAGTGTTGCACAATTGTTTCGCTCATTAAGCCAGGGTGCTTGCGTCATTCTTATCAATATTAATTTTACTGTTGATGACGTTCGTGATATTATTGACGTTGTTCAACGACATCAAGTCAGTGTACTCGAATTGAGTGCCAGTTTGTTCAATAGAATCAATCCTAGCGAGATTGTACCACCCGTACGTGTTGCATATATCAGTGGCGAAACTTGCCCGCTACATGTGGCCGAACTGTGGTCTAGTCATGTGCCTACGTATAATTTGTACGGAACAACAGAAACATCAATTTATACTCACATAGCCCGCCTTTTACCGAATCAGACACGCGTTATGATCGGTCGTCCTCTACCAAACACTTTGTGTTATATAATTGATGATCGAATGAGCCCAGTTTTTATTGGAGTTGTTGGTAGATTGTGGATTGGTGGATGTGCGCCAGCTCGTGGCTATCGAAACCGCGATGACCTAACTAAAATAAAATTTCTCGAAAATATTTTTCATCGTTACGATGGTAGTATTATCTTTGATACGGGTGATTTAGCACGCTGGCAGAGCGATGGACAGTTCGAGTACTTGGGCCGTCATGATACTCAGTTTAAATATCATGGTAATCGTATAGAGCTCGGCGAGATTGAGCAGTGTATACTCGGGCTGAGAAAGTCGCATAATACGCAATCTTCACCTGAAGAAGCGGCAGTTATAGTTCACAATAATGCCGAAAATACGAAAGACAATAAGCAAATCTATTTGCGTGCTTATGTGACGCCTAAATCAGTCGATCTGGTTAAACTTAAACAACACGTCAATATTTCGTTCCCATCGTACATCTGTCCAACTTATTTCGTTACTCTTGATCGATTACCTCTAACACATAACGGAAAAATTAATCGTGATGACCTGGTCAAACTTAAAATAGACGAGCTTCCAAAATCTAAAAGTAAACCTGAGAAGTATCAGCAGACTGTCCAACGAAAGGTCCACGAGATATGGTGCTTCTTGTTGCAGCTCGATTTTGTGGATCCTGAAGAATCGTTCTTTGATGTTGGTGGTAATGCATTACTATTTTTGAAGCTTATTGGATCTATTCAAAAACAGTTTTTTGCCGGCCGATCATCCGCACTTCAACCACCTATTGACAAATGGTTCAACACTACTACCATTCGTTCTCAAGTTGTTCTGATTGAAAATAGCCTTAAAAAGAGTTTGACTATACAAAAAGATCGTCTAATATGCGTCAATAAGCGTCGATTACGGGCGCATATCAAAGCTTTACGAACTGCTCATTCACCGGTCTTTGGAACAATGAAATCAATAATGCGAAGGTCATCAACCGCATCCTGCCTGACTCTGAACAGTGGCCCATGGAACTTCCCACAGGTTAGTATATGCTAGGTCATCCAACCATCATTTTTCACGCTATATTCATACTCATGTTGAAAAAACTTCAAAAATCATTTGTTCAAATCCCTTTTTCTAGAGATCGCGAAGCAGCCTATATGTATTAAATCGAAAAGACTTTCGATTGTATTATATTCCTAGTGCTTTCCCATGATCCATTTAATACATCTTGCCTTTTTCCAAAGAATGAATTGAAATAGATTCTAATTGTCTTATGTTTTTTTTTGTATTCAGAAAATAACAAACGAAACAGCAATTTTAATGCAAAGAAGAAAATCTTCCTTCGGACATGGTTTCTTGATCAATGATGAATCGCAATATCTCTCTCAAGTAAGTACAAGTCCCTTTTTGAAAAGAGAATTTTTGATAGAACAGTAGTACTGCATATTTTCTCACAATCTGAAAATGGTTAAAATTCAACATACTAATTAGACTAAAGTCTTAATCGAAAAATCAAATTTTTAACTACTAATAATTAACACAATATACATGCATGCCGAGCAATCCTTGAAAATTTTTTGATATTACCAAAGCTTATTGAGATGAACAATTTTTTTTGCAACGAACTGTTTCGACTTTGACTTTCTCTTGACTTTTAAATAATTGAAATACTTCAGCTTATATGTAACAAAGAGTATAGTAAAATCTTCGGATGCTTATGCTAAGGAAAAGTTGTTTCCCTTATCTTAGACTCAAACTCTAATAAACAAAGTTGTACATTTCGTCCATTTTTTTTTCACTATGTCGTTTATTTGGAAAACAAGGCCAAGCTTCTAGAAAAGCCTAATTTGAACTGCGATTTACTTGGAAATCATATGTTTGGATTTTGTTTTAGAAGTCTTATTTCTCATGTAAATCATTTGATACTAACCTCAACTAAGTATGAAATTTTTCGCCTTGAAATTTCAGGTCAAAATTTCATAGTTGATTTCAACATGAAATATTTAGTCAGAGATCCACCAAAAATCCTAGTTAAACAGTCATTACTTGGTAAGGATAGTGCATGGCATAGTATCCTTGTAGATTTACACTAGTCTCATCAAGTTCAATCGTAATAGAAGAATTGAAGATGTCATGTTGCTAGCTTGCTATCTTAGTCGTAATGTGAAATGACAAGTGAAAAATAGAAAGAGATACAGACTTTTGACAAGTTGTTTGATAATTGTTCGAACAACGCATTAGAAATCTTGATTCATAAGAGAAACCATTATTGATAAAAGAAAAAAATAGATAAAAACTCAGAGTTGATTCATTAAAAGAAGACGTGTTTTCAGCTTCCTCTCGTGCACACAATGATTAGTTATGATATTTTTTACTTTTCTATACATTCATTACGAAGCAGAGTTGATTGCAAAAGAGATCAAGAAATTTTAATCAAACGTTGGCATCGTATAAGCTCTATTATTAAAGAGGTAGAGCTTCGAAACATGCTTTTTATTGATAATTGTTTAGTAGCTGATTGTATGAACTACACTCTAAAAAATTTCCGTATCCTAGAAAACCGAAAGGGGTTCGGAAACCCACTCGGAAACCCTTATCCGTTTCCGAGAGGATTTCAGAACAGTAAAAGCGTTTCTAAAAATACCCTTTCGGTTTCCGAACGTTCGGAAACCTAGAGGTTTCCTACACTTCCCAATTGGACACTCTAAAAGTATTCTAGGATACCTTTTTCTTGCTGTCAGAAACCCAAATGTTGTCTCGGAAACTGGAAAGGTATTGTCGAAAACCCATATTAGAAGAAAAACTGAGTTAGTATCCGAAAGGGTATGCGAAAGTACCTTTTCATTTCCTGAACGGTTTCCGAAAAAACCCAATTTCAAAAGGGTATCATAAGAATCCAAAATGGGTTTACGAAAATACCTAAATTGAAAATGGTGTCACACTCAACTAAAATAGGAGTCCGAACTTTCATTGAACATTTTAAAGGGTTCCCGATGATTTAAACATTTCGTACTCTCGAAAAAAAGGCGTCATACTGAACCATTTGGACTCAAGAATGCTTCTACCGAAGATACTGAACCTTTCAAGGTTTTATTCGTTTATTAATAAACCATCGAGGGTTCTAGTGACTTTAAAGAACCATTTCAGGTCATGCATAGTTCCGGGTGTTTGAAAGGGTTCTGTCTTGCACTATTTTTTTTACGCTGAATCATTTTTCCAAAATGGTTCTGGCTAAAACCAAGATGCGATATTTTCTGAACATGATTTAACTAATGTAAATCTGAAATAGGTTATCGAGGTCTAGGAATCCGAATCCGTCATCATTTTTTCCATCCGAGCTCCCATTGCTCAGAAATTGGGTCCATCAAAAATTCGACGGCTGCAAAGTTAGACTTTTTATTTCAACTCCGATCTGAATTCTGATCAAAGTTTGAAATAGGTTATTGAGGTCCAGAAATCCGAATCCGCCATCATCGATTTCGACCCTGGGGATCCGAGTCGGATTACTTAACCCGAGCATTCGATGTATTCCTATCGGATCCTTATAAGATACGGGGGGGATTCGATCAGAATGCTGTGGGATCTGGCCGGCTCCGATCAGATCGCATTGTCGGATTCATGAACCTGTGCAGGTTTTGTTGGGGACTTTTGGGACACTCTGTAGGTAAATATAACACATAGAAATAAGGGTTAGGGATAGTTTTAAGGGGTAAGGATAGGTTTAAGGGTTAAAGATAGGTTTAAGAGTTAAGGATAGGAATTGGGGTTAAGGATAGATTTAAGGGTTAAGGATAGAATTAAGGTTTACAGATAGAAATAAAGGGTTAAATATGAAATTAACGGTTGGTTATAGCAGTACTCGCCAGTACTAGAGTAATTGAGTGTGGCGGACTACGTTTTACTACTCTAGAACCATTTTTGGAAGAAAAAGGGAAAGGTTCCAGCTAGAACCAGTTTTTGATTAAACCTTAAATGGCTCGGAAAATGGTACCCAAATCTAGAACGTTAAAAGGTTCAGTATGACACCTTTTTTCTGAGTAGCTAGCTACAGCTTTTTTCCATTCGGAAAGCTTTGTTTTGGGCTTCCGAATGAGTATTTGAGGTTTCGATATGATGGAAATTATGGGTTTCCGAGGTCTTGGAAACCCTTCTTCGGAAACCCTTAAAGGATTTCCTATATTAGCAAATTCGGAAACCCTCTAAAGGTTTTCTAGGATACTTATTTTTTTTAGAGTGTACTCGACTATCATGAAAAAAGTTCGTAGAATAGAAAATAGCAGGTCTTGGTGAGGATTGTTAGGGCTAAAGAGATTTTTTTCTCTCCTACTCTGACATTTGACGTAATGAAAATAATTTATTCAATACTAATCTAAACAATGTATAAAAAATGAACCACTATTGATCTCTTGTTACACAAATGAATTAGTTCAATCATTATTGAAAGATTTCATTTGATCTATTTTTTTTTAAACTAGGGATTTGATGCAAACGACTGTGCGATTATCGGTATGGCCGGGGTATTTCCTGGTTGCAATAATATCGACGAATTTTGGTCAATGCTTAAGGAAGGTCGTTCGGGCATAGTAACATTATCTGATGACGAGCTCCGTAGTTATGTTCCCGAGGAACTGCTAAAAAATCCGCGTTATGTACGCCGCACGGGTCGATTAACATGTGGCATTGATCTCTTCGATCATGCATTTTTTGGTACATCGCCTCGTGAAGCTTCACTCACGGACCCTCAACATCGCTTGCTGCTCGAAGTTGTCTATCGAGCTTGCGAAGATGCTGCCGTCAATTTACAATCGCCGGATGAGACGATAGGCTGTTTTATTGCTGCAAGTGATAGTAGTTACTATCTGTTCAATCTGCAACATTTGCATGACTCCAGTGATAAACAACCTACCGTAGAACGACAAATGCGTCTGAATAATATGATGGGCACCATGGCTACTAAGCTCGCGTATTATCTTGATCTCACGGGTGCTGCTATTAACGTACAAACGGCTTGTTCTTCGGGTCTTGTCGCACTACAGGTGGCTATTGACCATCTGCGATTAGGACGTTGCACAGTAGCCATTGTTGGCACAAGCTGTATTCATTTGCCGACAAGTGGTTATCTCTATGAGCCAGGTAGTATCTATAGTCCGATCGGTCAATGTGCTCCGTTTGATGCATCGGCCAATGGAATCGTTCTTGGTGATTCAGTTTCCGCCGTCGTACTCAAACTCGCTAGTAGAGCTGTTGTACACCGTCATAACATTCGTGCGCTGATCAAAAGCTGTGCTGTCAACAACAATGGAAGTGTACGCGGAGCAGCGAGCTTTGCTGCACCAAATGCAATCGCTCAAGCTGAATGCATTCGCGGAGCATTGACAGAAGCCAATGTCAATGCTACTGATATAGTTTACGTCGAAGGACATGGTACTGGTACAGCAGTAGGTGATCCAATTGAAGTCGAGGGGCTTACACTGGCGTTTGACACTTTTCAACGACAATACTGTGTCTTGGGTAGTGTCAAATCTAATGTCGGACATACAGACATAGCTGCTGGTCTTGTCGGTTTGATTAAGACTGCGCTGATCTTACAACATCGTTATATACCTGCCACACTGAACTATCGAATTGCCAATCCAAATATTGATTTTTCTTCAACACCTTTTGTTGTTCGATCGACCGATATTTCATTGAAAACTGCCCGTTTCGAACATGGACCACTTCTCGCAGGCGTCTCTAGTCTAGGCATGGGAGGAACAAATGCACACGCCATATTGCAAGAATACTGTCCAAAGTTGTCATCCAATAATTCATACGATTCGTCCAAGAATGCAGTACATCAAGTTACTTTATCCAGCAAAAATCCCGAGTCGTTACAAGCCTATCTACGAGAGCTCATCAATTGGCTCAAAAATCAAAATAACAGTAAAGAGCCAGCTAAATTGGCGAATATCTGCTATACATTGAATAAGGGTCGCTCTGTCTACGAGTTTCGTTTGGCTGCAACATTGGATTCATCATCTCTTTCAGTCCTCATTGACACTTTGAGTCAGCTATCTACTGATGGACTTCTACCATCGCAAGAGATAGATCGGTTCGTCTTCATATTTCCAGGACAACATAACTGTTCACGAACATTAATACGACAACTGTATTTAACAAGTGATGTATTCAGAAAAGCATATGATATGTGTGCGACGATTTTAAAAGATTATGATTCAAATAGTCCGAACATGATCGATATATTAATGGCTGCTGATGATGATAAGTTGATGAATCAAGAATGGCAAATTTGGATGGGTCTGACGACATTCATAGTTGAATTCGGATTAATCACCCTTTGGTCTAGCATAATACATCCACCGTATGTTTTCCTCGGTCACAGTATTGGTGAGTATGTTGTCGCCACAATAACAAGTGTATTTACACTCGAAGAAGCACTAAAACTTGTCTTCATTCGAACATGTCTCATAAATCAACAGTCTAACCTTAAAAAGTCAGGTGCTTTGCTCGCAGTGCGAATTAGCTACGACGACGCCATCAAGTATGTGATCCATGATCGACTGTCTATCGCTGCTGTAAATGGGCCCATGCAATGTGTATTCGCCGGAGATATTAAAGCAATCAATGAATTGAAATCAACCTTAGACAAGTTAAAGTATAAATTCAAACAACTGGAACACACATTTCCGTTTCACAGTCATATGATCACCCCGTTGCTACTCGATACATTTCGACAAGCTTACAAAGATCTTAATATTCAAGCACGTGCGCCGAAGATTCCTTTTATCAGTACAGTTACAGGCAACTGGTTGGATGAAGATTATGTTCCTGATATTGAATATTGGTGTCGTCACATGCGACAGACAGTACTCTGGCATCAAGCAGTAAAAACGCTTGATCAACAGAACTCTTCGTCACCTACAGAACGTAGTAATAAAACACTCTATATTGAATGTTCTCTTAACAACATACTGACCAATGTGACCAAAGCCAGTGTTAAAGCAGAATCATCATTAGTTCTTCCATCAGCATCAACAGACACTACTAATGTCGAACTCTCAATAAAACAAGCGCTGAGTACTTGCTGGTGTCATGGTCTCGAAGACATTGATTTTCAATCAGTTTACAATTCCTTCAGTGGATCATCAAGTGTTTATAATAATGCATCATTTATTTCCATGCCAGGTCAAGTCTTTAACAGGCAACGCCATTGGATCGATGCACCATCACTGCATCAACTTAAAGAGAACATCACAAAACAACCATCAATGTCAACTGTTGATGCCGATGAAATCAAACAGCATGAAACTATTCAACCTATGATGAACTCGTCTTCTCTAATAACACAACTTATTGAAATCTTTGTTTCAGTGACCGGCGATGTGTTGACAAATAAGCATAGTGACTTTTTCGCATCAGGTGGCGATAGTCACACAGCCATAATTCTAATTAGTCGCATCAACCACCTATTCAATGTCAAACTGACGAACAAAGATTTAACAGAGATGCCAGTCCTTGAGCAACTTGCAGCGCGCATCGAACAAATCAAACATAAAAAAATTCTGCAGACAGCACCAGAAGTTAAAATGGCTCAATTGTCTTCTCTACTTCATCTATCATACCAGGATGATCAAATTATTGTAATGAAAAAAGGCACTTGTTCGTCGCAAGCACCAATCTTTGTTATCGCTCCGACTGGCGGTACCTGCTTCATCTATAGAGATTTATGCAAGTATCTAAATACATCGATTACTGTTCTAGCTCTAAAATATCCTGATATATCGCCGTCATTATCCTCTGAACATTGTGAGGATTCAGTCGCTAACTTAGCATCCTACTATATCGAAGTTATGCGTAGCATACAACCTGAAGCAACATCGTATATTCTTCTTGGCACATCCTTTGGTGGTATGATAGGTTATGAAATGAGTCAGCAGTTGAGCACATTGTCATCAACAAGTGTTCATATTAGTCGACTATTCATGATCGATACACCGACGAAAGAATCCTTGCGTATACATCTTGATGATACAACTTCTAATAATAATAAAAATGTAAGAGCAATTGTTCTCTGGGCTATGTTTGGAACGAAGTACAATTTTTCTCTCGCTCAAGCCGAACATGAATGTATGAAAGATGAAGAGGAGTTAAAGCGGTTCTGTATCGATAAAAAAATTTTATCCAGTAATGCTGTTGATTTAGATACTGAATTCCGTGAACTTTGTCAGTACATGCATATTTTTGGACGAAACATGCGCGCTATAGACGACTATACTGTTGAACCGTTGAAAAGTCGATTGACAGAAGTCAATTATATCCAAGTGAAGTCACCACTACCGCATGATCCCGTCGAACCATATCGAACTTGGTCACAAGCAGTTCCTCGAAATCAATTTAAACTTTTTCATGTCGATGGTGATCATCTCTCTGTTAATTTTGAACCATATGTACAGCAATTGGCAAGTCTCATCAATAGAGAACTTTTATCAAGCTCAATATCGTAACTCAGACTGTTTTGTGAAACTCGCATATATTTTCGAAGAAAATAGTGAGTGTAAGTTTTAAGTCGAAGTTTTGGCGCTTCTTCCACCTATCACTTCCCATTACAGACCATAGCAATGGAGATCCCATTACAGACAGCCCTCCATTATTGACAGACCCCAATTACAGACCGTAGTAACCAGTTTCATAGTCGTTGAGTACTCTAGTTTATATGAAATATGTGAGTTCCACATTTCAACGCTAAAGGGGTCGCGCTAACAAGCCTTTTTCGTCAATTATTTGTGAAAAATAATTGCTTTTAAATAAAATTTATTTTTAAACGAAACAATCTAGTAGGTTTGTGTTATGTACTTCTCCAAAAACTTGATGTATCGCATATGTGACCATGCCATAGAACTTTGATCAGTAGGTTCCTTCTAAAGTTCAAGTCAAATATTGCCATATAGAAATATTTGAGCGAACGAATAAACTCGCCGGCAATAGATCGAAGCTTTTTTTCGTACAACCTTTTTGTGTTTATCTAGAAATATTGACTTGTTGACAAATATAAAATATTTGAATGATAGATCTGGATAGGAAGCGATCCAATAAAATTCAGTGATTCATGCTCCAAAATTCTGCTTCGAACTGTTCAATACATTGATTTAAACTTCGAATATAATCGATTTATTATTTTTATTCGATCGTATGTAGTTCTACATCATGTAATAATTTGAAATGACATATTGAAATGTCGAGATATCATTGACATTTAGCAAGCACTATTGCATTAGATTAGCAATAACGATCACAAAGATAGAATTAATATGAGAAATTCCACGTTTTTTTCAGTCGAATTACGGAGAGTCGTCACGAGTGTAACGATTTTTGTCTTTACTATTTTGAATGAATCAATATTTCCTTTCATACATTTCCTATATATCAAACGTAGAACACAAGAGAGAAAAAGAGGAAAAATGAAATAGAAAGAACTGAAAAGAAGAACCAACTGAATTTGATGAAGAGAGAGGTAAGTGATAAACGCATTAATATTGCACAGTTATATAAGAAATAAAGTTAAATTCAACATGATGAGAAAAAAGACAAAGGATAAAGTAATTAGCGATGTATGGTTATGAAAGAAGGCAGGATAACGCATAAGTTAACAATACATCACAGGATACAAATAAAACAGCATGCATGAACAATCAAATCAACCAAAAAGTGATAGTAAATAATGACATTCAATAAACTCAGCTGGGAACATCTCAATGAGCTCTTGAACATCGAAATATAAACGCTATGAACGTGTACTACTTACATATTTGATCGTTAGGGTTAATCTTAGTAGGTACTACAGAACCAATGGATATATTTGCCATTATATTATACTAAATTTTTGCAAGTGAAAAAATGCGAATTCTTTCACCCAATGCATTTGATCGGCCATGTACAGGAAAAGTGCTTCTTAAGTCGATAAGACCAAAATGTTGGAGTATCTACTACAGTTCTATCTAAATGTTTTCAGCCGCCTTAGGTTTGCCATTGAGGTGGTTGTATCGTCGACCCAGAATACAATGAAACTGTGCGCTATGAATGTTTGACAATTTCATTTAATCATAAATCACATGTTGTCACTACAGAAAGTACTTTGATGAATTCATTGATGAAAGTACGAATTCAGTAGATAAACGAGTCAAACTTATTCATCGCATGCTAATAAATAGTCTTATGACCATTCAAGACATCCTCGATATTCACTAATTTGTTTTTGGCTTCAATCCCAACGCCAACTTGTAGAAGATCAAACATGCCACCATTATCTAGATCAGTGGAAGACTGTGTACTGACATTAACGAATTTAAGTTTCGAATCCTTGAGTTTCGCAGCTAGACGTGTGGTCAATCCAGTTTTGTTGTATGCAAATTGGTCGATTGACAACTGAGTGATGGTTTTCGGAGTATTCTCATCTGATGAACTATCATTGATGAGCATTCTGGCTTATTTCACTTTGCATTCCTTGAGATGAGTGAGGAAATCTCTGAGAGTCTGTTTCTTGGAATTGTCATCAGTGAGTAAACATGAATGATTCTTCGAATCTTTCATGAAAGCTTTTAACACAGATGATCCTGATCAGCAAAATGCCATTCTTTCAAAGCTCGTGCTTAGCTTTCTCATTGATGATCAAGTTAATTTTCGTTGAATTTGACTATGTTGAATGTGGTCGGAATTGATCATTCTTGCCGACAATTTCTTATAGGAATAAGAAACGTGGAGAAGAATGCACTCAAGGCAAGAGAAGGATCCATGTCTCTTGACGATGACTGTATAGCTTGAAGTTGAGCAAAATAACATGCGTTGCTCCTTTTCTCTTTTGCTTTTTTTGTTTTTCAATCAATTATCCTTTGATTGCAAGACAATCATATATTGATTATAGTGCACAGTCATCACGATGAAAATGTTGTTCAATCATAAGCTAACACATATGCTCGGCTATTGTAGGAGTACTTTGTTTTGATTCTTGATTTCACATATTCTGTTTCATTTTAGATCTCTTTCCGATTGAAAATTGTACATGAAATTACTTGTGAAACAATCGAAATATTTGCTTCGGTAGTAATTAGGTACAACTAAAAAATCAACAAAGATCCGATTTAACCAAACCAATACCACCTGTGGCGCCGGCTTCGGATGAAAGAATATATCTAATGCATGAAGCTGTGCCTACAACTTGTGATGAGCATCCAAGTAATCTAAAGAGAAAGAAGTAGAAGAATCATTGATTTGAAATACATTGTTTTTAGTATGCTTTCAACGTATTCGAAAATATTTACGGAGTACTTCAGAGATAGATTAACAGATCATTAGATACTTGTCATCAGTGGGAAAGAATCAACTGATTCAATTAAATTTGGATGAATAAATTCAATATTTCTCAGCATAGTGACTCTTGAGCCACCGTGTAGCTGAAAATAGATTAATAGTCATGTTTTACAAAATCCAGACGAATTTATTTATTATGATGGCTAAAGCAGTATGAAAAAACGAAGATTAATTGAATTGGGCGACCATTTTCTGAAAGTTGATTATCTCGGATTTTTTAACACTAGCTGCGAGAAAATATTGTGCTACTACGTATCTAATCACCTACAGTTTTCCTTACGATCAGCTGCTACTGTTGAATAGGTGTTATTGCATTTTTTGATCTTTGTTTCTTGAAATATGACAATCATCATGTGATTTGTTGATGTAGTGTTCACAGAATAGACAAGAAAGATGAAGATCAATTTTCAATTGCACAATAAATTGTTGGAATATTTGCATTTATCATATTCTAGTTTCTCTACAATTTTACACATGCGTTACTCTTTGAGGATATTCGAAAGAGAACCTTCTCGTGGTCATTAGAAAATCGTTTCTTTTAATAAAGTTTTAGAAATTTTGCTAAAACAATTTTCAACTTCAAAAATATCAATTGAAAGAACGCCTAAAACTCAGTGTGTAGTTTTTTTATTCATGCTGATTAAGGCACATATCTATGGCAAAGCAAATTAGTCTTTTGTTCTTGACTTATAGACAATATCTGGAGAACATACTGTAAGTATTGGAAATTTTTGTTGATTTTCAAAGTTATATTAAGAAAAATTCTCTACAATACAAATATCTTGCTCCATCATATGAAATTATTAGAAATAAAATTGTAGTGAGTTTTTCTTTATATGATTCTTGAAAGTAATGATACTTTCAATAGTTATGTCATCTGAGTATTGACTATGAGTCAGGAACAAACGATTTATTTGTTTTTTTCTTTGATATACAACTTAATCAACATTAATAATAAAAGTACATATTGAACTTTTGGGGCTCTTTCAAATGCTGCATTTGAACTTAAAAATTTATTTTAGCAAAATTTACAGATATTAGAAGATTTAGTTTTCTAAAGACCATCAATGTTGCAGTATTTCATATCTTTTGAATTATTGTAAAGTTCCAATATGCATTTTTTTAATATAGTGTAAAATTGAGACGAATGTGTAGAGTATAGATAAGCTGCTACATGATAACTGCAAGTGTTCCAATAGTTCGTTGAGATATTGTATAGATATATTTTTTCATGATATTCAAGAAGAATTATCTTTCAATAACATCCTGTGAGGTGTAATAGCTTCTGAT